GCGCGCGTCACAGAATTCACGACTTTCTTTATGTTTAGGTGTACGAACGAAGTGACTTATATGTATCCGACTTGGCGAGAAATGTAACGTACGGAACTGTCTGAGGTATCAAAAGTCCTTTCAGATTGTCGAGATTGCCGCGCCAAAATTCAAGAGTATACATATGTGCGCGCGCGCATCGCACACGTGTATCGCATGAAGTGCGTCGGTAACGTAAATTCGTTGCGTGAAAACATCGACTTGCGAAAAGAGAGACGCATCGCAAACTTCAATTCGATCGACTTCGCACGTTCACCCACCCCCGCCGCTGCCGCCGAGGGTTCCCCGGACACGCAGAGTCCGCGAGCGTGAGATGCGCAACTCGCGAGGATGTCGCGAGCGGAAAAGGAGCGACGACGGGGCGTGGCGCCTCTCGGCCAGTTTGATTTACGGCCAGTTAAGAACCGCATATTATCGCCACGTACAACTAATCCTTCGCAGTGTATTTCCTTCCCTTCCCCCCTTGCTCATTGTCCCATCTGTGCGTCGCCTCACCCTCGTCCTCTCCAACTACCCCTGACCCTCTTTCACACCGGTTACCCTCTCCCTCTCTCTCTCTCTCTCTCTCTCTCTCTCTCTCTCTCTCCTTTCGCGTTTTATACCTCCTCGTCCCTCCCCCTGCCCCCTGGCCGCCCTTCTCTCCCTAACCATCTTACCTCTCACCGTCCATCTGTCCGCTCCCCCTTTCTCCCGCGCTTTGCCCCGGTCTCTCGCCTCCTTTCTCCGTCGCTCCCGGTTCCTCTTGTTCCCGTTCTCTTGTCGATTCAACAAGTGCCCGGTCACGCTTCGCAAATATCGCACGTAAGAGGAGGAGACGCCGAGATTACGACCGCATCCGTAGCCGGTCCCCGCGCGCGCGCCCGTTCGCCGCGAGACACGAGTTCCGCCGAAATTTCCAAGCGCTCCTTTCCAGAAAGATGAGTGAGAGAGAGAGAGAGAGAGAGAGAGAGAGAGAGAGAGAGAGAAAGAGAGAGAGAAAGAGGGACCCAGATATCCAGCTAAAATCGACGGGCGAGAATAATAAATTTTGATCAGTCGACGGGACCGCTGACGCGTCGCATCGCGCGTATCCACCCCCGATTTTGCGAACTTGTCTCGCCTCACCCATTGCTTACATCACGCTTTTTCGTGATACAGAGGGTGTGCGTAACGGAGATACCGTTACTTCAAACCTCGCATGGATTCTCGGCGACAATCTGAAATCTGAATTTGTATCGCATAATTTCGGTATGATAACTCGAGTGTCGAGTACAGCGCAATCTACCGACGATAAAGATGTACGGAGCCAAATAAAAATATGGCAACACGAGTCGTCGGTATCGCCGGAGTTACATGAGCGGCGATAAGTGAATTATGTCAGGCGGGCATGCGGGGTCACTTTGCCTTCGAGTGTATCCCAGTTTGCCAAGTGGCGCGAATGCCGCCCGATTAAATTCGGAGAATCGCTCGCGTGCGATCTGTCGCCGCGGGCGGCGTTGCGAGCACGACGGATACACCTTCTCAAAACTATCCGCTAACAAATAACGATAACAAATTCACTTGTATCTGGAGTCATCTGTGAAAGCCGCTCGTTACTATTTCGGACGTAGACACAGAGGACGACGCTTTTTTGCTCTTTCCTCGCTTCGGCGGAGGAAGAAAGGCCGCGGCGGCGGCGACGGCGGCGGCGACGGCGGCGCGACCGCCCGGGCCGGAGAAGGGCCGTTCGTTCGCGTATCGTTTTCTCTCGGCGCTAGAGAAGGCGAGATGAGATCCGTCGCGTAGTTTTTCCTCTATCACGATTCCACGAACGTTCCTCGGAGCTCGGGGCTGACCGGTTGACCACGGCGCGTTGGTAGGAGAATCTCCGAGCGAGCGAGTCATATTCCAAGTAGGCCGCTACGGCCGGCCACGGCGGATGTACGCGGTCGCAAGAGAGCAAGCCGTTGCCGCGCTAGAGACACTCGAGTCAGGCCAGGGACGTAGCTATCGTGAACGTCGCTGATATCGGTCGGGGCGGTCAAAAGTCCGCGGCGGGCCGCGCTATCTTCATTGAAAAGTCGACGGCGAGCCGTGCTGCCGAACAAGCGGCGGAATTACACGCGCCTGCTATTATTCCTCCAATATCGAACCGCGGTCGAAAGCGCGAGGCAACATACTCGCGCGCAATACCCGTGCGATGTCAACAAGGAGTCGCGATGACACACCGTCGAACCGTCGATCTCGTCGAATTGATCGACTTCGAGATTTCTTACGGCTTCGATCGATTCATCGGTCAGAGCACGATCGGGAATGCGGAGCATGTTTGTAGAAGCGGGAACATATCGCGCGTCACATTGCGAGGACCAACTCCAAGTCTCCCAGTCGTCGTTGTTCACTATGAGCTCGGTCGTCATCGTGACTGCCGAGCTCGGCCGTATAGCCGAGTCGCGTTATCAGTGTTGCTCGCGGCGGCATGGTAGTGACGCGCGGAAGCCGAGTTCGATGGAAACGCGGTGACGTCTGTTCCCCTGCGAGCGAATCCTATTAGATCGCCTCTCTCTCTCTCTCTCTCTCTCTCTCTCTCTCTCTCTCTCTCTCTCTCTCTCTCTCTCTCTCTCTCTCTCTCTCTCTCTCGCTCTTTCTCGTCGCGCGCTCTCTCATCGCACGAAATTTCATACGAAATGTTCGCGCGCGCGCGCGGCTTCGTTTATTTCCCATAAACCTCCGCGGGATGCGGATCTTCCTCTCTCTCTCTCTCTCTCTCTCTCTTTCTCTCTCTCTCTCTCTCTCTCTATCTCTCTTTATGTTGTGCCTATATGAAAATTAATGAAACTTAACGTTCGCTAACGCGCGTGCACGGCATTGCAACGCCGTGGCGCAGCGTCGCAAACTACCGAGCGCGCCCGGATAGCCGCTTTTATCAGCTTGCACTCGTGAAAAGATGTACTACGTCAACAGCTCCCAACTTTTCAAAACAGAAGACGCGCTATTGCATCACCAGTCGGCACGTAAAAGCGCTGCGCGCAGAACTTCGAGGCCGTGGCTAGGGACACCGCAGAATAATTACCGTTCGATAGTTATCAACTTTTTCTTTTTTCTTTTTTTTTTTGAACGTCGCGCGAACGAAGAGAGAGAGAGAGAGAGAGACGGACGCGCGCATATTCCCCTCGAAAGAGCTGAAATTTCGCAGGTCTTAAGTAGGAAACACTCGAAATAGGAAAATCGCGTCTCTCTGAGACTATATATCTAAGGCAAATTTACGAAAGTCGCGCAAATTACCGAAGTTCGGTAAGTGGCAATTCGCTGGAAAGTCGCGCGGCGGCTCAAAGACGTTAATCGACTTCACTAACGAGATTAATCGCGAGATTATGAAGAGGGGATTCTACGTCACGTCCTTTTCCTTCGAGTTTCGAATTTCATGCGGATATCACGCCACCGCTGCTGCCGCCGCCTGTGTTTTGCCAGGAGGCGAGTTTCGTCGTCGTCGTCGTCGTCGTCGTCGTCGTCGTCGTCGTCGCCGTCGCCGTCGTCGTCATCGTCGTCGTCGTTGTCGTCGTCGTTACCCTTTCGACCGACCTTGCCAGCGTCGCTTGTCACTTTTTCCCAGTAGCCGTCAGCGGTCCCACCACCGCCACCCTCTCTCTCCCGCCTACCTTTTTTCCGTGAAATCAAACGTCATGTGGAGGCCACGTGGACTCAGTCGACGGACGAACGTGTCGCCGGTGACATCTCACGGCATCTCCGGGCACAACCGAGCGCACTACCACAAGTGGCGATACACCGTTTGTTCCCCCCTCCCCCTCCGCTCCCCTTCCCCCTCGGCCCCTTGCCGTCCCTTCTCCTCCCCCTATTTCGGCCTCTCTTTCTCACGCTCGGGAGTGCGCGTTCTTGCTCGCGCCAGCGGAGAAACGCGCGTCTCTCCGTCTCCCGAGGTGAGCAAGGGCTGGAGGGAGGAACGATTATTTACTTACTTTCACTCGCGCGACCTCGTACGCGCGTAAATCATCCACGGCTGCGTGGGTACTGTGCTTTCGTAGGGTCGCGGGTCGCGGGTCGAGATACGCTCGAGCGCGACCCGCCCTGCGACGGCGATCGACGGCGAAACTTTGAAAAATTATAACCCGTATCGCGTCGCCTCTGAAACCTCAGGAAACCATCGCACGTCCGTGATTCTCGTAATGAACGAACGAGGAGTCCCCGAGTCCCCGATGGCAATGAATGTGTTTTCGTCTGCGGGCGATGCCTGCCGGCTTCAGGAGAAGCGGCATATCGTTTTTGTCTCGTTCCCCACGAAAATGATCCTCGCTTTGAGGAGACCCGAATTTGGATCTTATTAATGCGCGCGGTAGACTCGTTCGTCGGAGGATGAAAAAGAACGAAGATCTGGTGGAGAAAAATGAGAGGCGCAATTCTTCTTTGTTCTATTTACGAGTTTCTCTATCGCGAGTGCTAACCAGCGAGTGGTAATGTTCATAAGATACCGCTGGAAGTCTGCGGTCTCGAGCTCGCGCGCTCGCCAGCAGCGATCGTCCGCGTTCCGCTGATGATTTCTTCCAGGCAGCGGAGTTAGCGAGTCGCGTGACGTCACTTTTTCATCGTTCCATCGCCGAGTGCCGAGCGTCTGAAGTCACGTACACTCTTGTCCACTCTTGCGCCTCCGAGTGTCGTGAAACAAAGCTCCCACTCGATATTATTGCATTTATGCCGTCGAATACACGAGGAAACACGCTTGATATCCTTGCAACAGCCTGGGGGCAGCCTCGCAATCGCAACAGCGAAATACCTCAGACTCGTAACTTAAAATTAACCGCACCCTTTCCATACAGGCGATCTTAGACGTATGCACGAGAGAGAGAGAGAGACAGAGAGAGAGAGAGAGAGAGAGAGAGAGAGAGAGAGAGAGAGAGAGAGAGAGAGAGAGAGAGAGAGAGAGAGAGAGAGAGAGAGAGAGAGAGAGCGGTCGCATTGAGCTAACTTGGCGATTTTACGCGTGCTTTCAGAGTTGTGCAATGATGGGTCTGCAGGCGACGGCAGGAAAACGTAAATTGGAGGGAGGTGTTGGCTGCATGGAATTCCACATGGACATAGGCGAGAGTCCGTCGAAGCTCGGACGCGTGGAGGGTAGCTGGTGGGCGATGGACGACAGTTACGGACCGCCCCTGAACCAGACGTCGACGTCGTATTACGAGATGGAGGTGAACTCTCCGTGTCTGCAGGCGAATCCGTGCCAGCCTACGTCGACGAGTTCCTCCTCCCAGCAGCAGCAGCAGCAGCAGCAACAGCAGCAGCAGCAACAATCGCAGCAACACCAACCACATCATCCATCTTCGCAGTCGCCGCAGCAGCAGCAGCAGCAGCAGCAACAGCAACAGCAATCGCAGCAGCAGCAGCAGCAACAGCAGCAGCAGCAGCAACAATCGCCAGCGTCATCCTCGACGTCGGCTTCGTCCACGGTGACGCAATTGCATCACCACACGCAACACTACTATCATCACCAACGTGGTGCTGTTAGTCCTATCGGTAGCAACGGCTACAACCAACTGTCGAGATCTCAGCCTCCCCAGTGGGGCGCTCTTCATCATTATGAACCGCCGACGATACGTCGTGAGGAAAATGGCAAGAGCTACCTGGAACTTGGCTCGAGTTATCGCGCGAACGAGCGATGCTGCGAGGGTTCCAAGTCCAGCTGGTGCCGGCGTGGGCGAGCCTGTTACCGGCAACGACGGCTCGCCGTGCTCAACATCTCGATGTGTAAGCTCGCCAGGTACCGGCAATTCCCGGACCCGAGCCTTCACCGGTCGGTCCTGATCTGCAACACCCTAAGACACCTTGAACGTGAGATGGAGAGGGACCGCAGCCCACCGCCCATGGAGCCGGTTGTTCCGGTACCCATCGCGCAGTTGCAACCACCTGAGCAGGGCAGGCTAACGCCTTTCCCAGTACCACCGACGTCATCCGGAGAGACCGACGTCGACTCCGGCATCGGCGACAGCGACGACAGCCGATCGATCAATTGGGGTAGCGTGCTCTCCCTATCGAGCCAGTCGCCGCTCGACCCGCTTAACAACAACGAATTACTGGACGTGGACATAGGGCCCGATCTCGACTTGGACTTCATGCCCGGCTGGAAGCTGACTCCGGTTCAGGCGGACGACATCCTGAGAACAACGACGACGTCCCAGGAGCAGCATCACCACCACCACCATCATCATCACCATCATCATCACCATCAGCATCATCACCACCAGCAACAGCAACAGCAACATCTAATGTCGTCGAGCAGCAGCTGCGGCAGCAGTTGCGGCAACAGCAACGTCGGTGGCGCCGGCGTCAGTAGCGGTAGCAGCAGTAGTACGCACGAGTCGTTGATGTGCGTGGGATCATAGCCCTCGACCTTGACGTCGTTGAGTCACCTAATCGATTTCTATCCGCTGACGCCGCAGGGCAAGTAGACATTCACGCTCCTGCCCGCGGGTCCACGAAGACGCGGCTGAAAGACGATGGTGCTGACGACTCGCCCTCCCTCTCCGGTGCGCTCGACGTACGACCGGCGACTCTCGAGGAACCATACTCTACTCTCTGTTTTGCGTTAATTTATTGTCGCGTCAATTACATACATCCGCGTAGAACACCACATACACACACACACACACACACACACACACACACACACACACATACACACCGACCGACCTTCTGTGACACTTGCGTTCTTCCTTCGCTCCTCTTACCACCGCTACTACTATTACTGCTACTGCTACCACCGCTAATACTCTAACTCCATTACCCCTATCGTTACCACTATTTCTACTACTACTACTATCACCCGCGACTACTTATTACTATCGTTACCGTTACTTCTACTACTATCGCTACTATTGCTAGTACTACTATTATTACCATTACTAATATTACTACGATTACTACTACTACTACTACTACTATTTACTACTACTATTACTACTATTACTACTACTACTATTATTACTACTACCACTATCGCTAATTAACGTGTCTCCCGTATTTGCTCCCCGAGGGACGGACGCGTCATGACACGCAACGTTCGCAGGTGCAGTCGAGATAGAGCATTCTGAGAACTTAACGAACGGGTTAACGGGCAGAGAAAAGAAGACAGGGCGAGACGGAGAGAGGGTAGGGGGAAGGGAGAAAGGACCGTCACTGTCCGACAGCGAGCCGACAGGTGCTGCTACTCGCGTTGGATGATCCGGTAGCCTGCCAACAGAAATTCGGCCGGCTTTCGTATCGAACCACGCCGCGCAATGAGACGACGGAGAGAGGCCCGTGTACCATGTTCGCCGCCCTGGAATTTCGAGAACAGATGCGAACGCGGCTTACGCGTGCTTCGAGATGGGTTTCGGCAGAATTCGGGAAAGATTGATCGGCTGGGTGATCGAGTACGGGGGACAATATGTCGACCTTTTGAGAAACGCACGATAATGACACCGAACTTGCAACTATAGATTCGATTTATACAGTTGCGTTTGCAAGCTCGACGGTCCGTGCGCGAAGTCCCCGGGAGAAGAGACGTCCAACGCACGGGAAATATCCGGGAAAAGTTGGGGAGCAGGATCGGAGAGCCAAGAGAGGGTGGGAAATTTGTCTCGAAGCTTGTCAGGGTTCGCGTCGACGCGAATCCGCGGCGTGAAGGCTACCTTTCCACAGGACTGAACTGACGACGCGAGCCTTGCGATCGGCGTGTTTCAGCTCGCGGAATCTTCCCCCTCTCATTCTCGCGTTCGCGGGAAGTTGCACCCCGACGTTGCTCGAGAAGGTCGACTGGGATTCTCTTTTCCACGGAACGACACTCAACGTCGGAGCCTTCGTGTTTGGGAGGAATGTGAGCGATTAACATACAGGCGACACACAAATCGTGCGTACTCGTACGCGTACGTATGGATGCGACACACACATACATGCACACACACACACGCACGCACGCACGCACGCACGCACACAACATATATACAGGTATATACGACCGCCGTGGCCTATATTATACGCACGACGCACGGAGACACGCAAGTGCGTGTGCACGCAGGTCGTACGGTGCTACAGGGCGGCTGCAGTCTGGTGCTTCTCCTCTTTAAACCCACAGACACACACACACACATACACACACACAAAGCTACACAGAGCTAAATTCGCGTATCGAATTCGCACGGATCGCTCGCAGCGTCCGTCGCTCGGGGTCGTCGTGACGCGTCCTGCCGTCGTAAGCGTGACACGATGTAAGTCGGAAGCGTCGGCGTCTCGATCGAGGAACTCCTTCCGACCGCGCCACCTTCGGCTAGTGTAAATTCCGCTTGGCTGTCTCGCCTGAAATACCGGGGTCACGTGTGTCCGACGAGGCGCGCAGGCAAATATATCATATATAGGAAGGAAGGACTCTTTATTTAGAATGGAAGTGCTGATTAGATCTCCGGTGTCGTCGCTGTTCAAGCGTAAATACTCGACCCTGCGTCACATTTTTGTGTGTCGTCAGTGCGCGACCCCGGCTGAGGTGATGAGAGACGCCCCGTAGTTTAGTTAGGGAACGTGACGAACAGAAAATTTCTGACCCAGAGTAGGGTGACCTCAGGTTGTTGGCGCGGTTCGGTCTCGATCGTCCCTCGTGAGCGAGAGAATAAGAAAGAGAGGAAGAGAGAAAGAGAGAGAGAGAGAGAGAGAGAGAGAGAGAGAGAGAGAGAGAGAGAGAGAGAGAGAGAGAGAGAGAGAGAAGAGACACCGAGACGCTTAAACAGTTGCGTTGAAATGGCGAGACATATTTGGACTGCGTGATAACGCGTTTAAGCAGCGGGCGTGTGGTGCAACGAGCTAATCGCGCTCAAATCAGGGATTATTTTCATACAGCGTTTATGCGGAAAAACATATTCTCGAGTAATTTCGCCCGCCTTGGTTTTTAACGCTCTAAGGGATATCTATGCATACACGGATATAAAAGTACAAATAGTTACGATACGTTTCTCCTTCTTCCTTTAACGCAACGCGCGGTTTCTCACGCGGACGCTCGCTGCTTAACGACGGCGGTTTGCGACCGAAGAGAGATTTGTCTCGGCAAGTAACTGTGTTTGTCCGGATTATATCGAAATTTTTTTTCCTTTTCGACCGCACCGACTCAGTGCGAGTGGCGATACGTATGTTACTTTCGTACCTAATCGCAAGTCAAAATGTGGCAATTAAACATGCAAAGTAGTCCATTAAATTCGCAAGGCCATTAAGCTCCAACGCAACTGGTTAACCCTAAAATGCATGACATGAGCCAATGTGACTCAGCCGCTATTTTAAATGCGAACTACACATTGATTATTTTATCAGAGTGACCGTCAGTTCACGACTTTCCCGATGAATGATATGAAACAAACGTGCAAGAGAGAAGAAGAGAGAGAAAGAGAGAGAGAGAGAGAGAGAGGTGTCTCACAAGAAAGAAAAAAAATATCTGCTGCAACGAATTAGTTGCTCGTCAAAATTATGTAACAAGCATCGTCTGTAATTATGAGGCAGCTGGCTCTACTAAAATATCTATCGCAAAATTTATTCCAAAGTTCCGCAGAATGAGCTCTTTAAAATTACAAGTTGCCCGTGGCCTCCACCGAGGAAATAATTGTGTCAATTAAGAAAAATCATGAGCGGCGGTAAATTGCAATTGTGAGCAGGGTGCCGCAACTGGCCATGTCACGCGTTCGTGTGTGTACGGATATGTGTATATATGTACGTGTGTATGAACGTGTATGAGATAGCAGCTGTGACGTATCCCACAAGGACGTAAACGCGATGACGGAGACGCCGACGCCTTCGCGTGGATATCTTGTGTCTCGACGTGCGACGTCGACAAATGTACCTGCATTTTAGAGATCGGGGTAACGTTCTCCTCTACGGATCGTCGCACGGTGGCCACTGCGCGCCACTGATCTCCCACTAAATGTATCATATGTACACATATATAAATAAACTAGAAAGTGGCCGGCGTGCGCGCGCGTGAAGGAGGCGAGAACGCTCGAGAGTTAAGGTGTCGATTTTTAAGCGCACTCGCGGACCCCGGACGCATCTTCGCGTGGATCCGTGCGCGATCTCGCCCTCAACGTCCACGAATCCATTCAAGAGCAGCTATACTTAAGGTGGAAAGAAGGAAAGGAAGAAAGCTAAACGATTTAAGAAAGTCTAACGTTACGAAGAGAGTATAATAACTTATCGACTCGACTGATTACTTAAACGAGAGAGTGAACGTACGCGAGCGAACGGATGAATGTATGCGCGTGTGAAAGGAGCGAAAGAAAACAGAGAAGCGAAGAGAATACGTGTGTGTAAAAAGGAAATTATTGTAATTATATCATGATGCAAAAATATATATATATACATATACATGTATATGTATATGTATATGTATATATATATATATATATGTATATATTTGATTTAAACTGTAATTATAGTATATATGATGTTCTCTCTTTCACACAGTGACACGATTCATACATACACACACGCGCGCACACACACACACACACATACACACACACTCGATATACATACAGACATACGCGAGATATATTAGGTACTTGTTGTAAATATATATACACATATACATACATATATGTGTATGCAGTATATATATATATATATATATGTGTGTGTGTGTATGTGTACACATATACATTAACTTACTAAGTCTAGAATCTTAAGCATAAACGCGAAAAATCGTCAAGAAAGAAGAAACCCTTCACCTTCATCCCTTCCCGAGTCACTCCGCTATCCTCGATCCCGCCCCACGTTCCATTTTCTACTTTGTATTATAGTACATTACGATCGGCACACCTTCTCTCACACGCCCTCCCCTTCTCCTCACCTTCCCGGACACTGCTCCCTTCCTTTTCATCGACCTCCTCCTCTCTACCTCTTCCTCCTCTCGCGATAGTGCTCCCCCTTTCTCCGCGCGATTTCTCCGCGAAAACGACGAGCAATATTACTTTTAACAAGCGCGGAAAATTTAGGGGAAAGAAAAGCATATACGTACAAATCAATGCATGGTCGCGAGCGCGAGTCGAATGCGAGCGTCACACGCGAGATCTTTGTTTTGCGCGCGTTGTACGCATTGTATGCGCGTTTGGCGTTTGGAATGCTCCCGTGGTGTTGTGCGAACACGGTGGGTGAACGCGGAATCTCTCGGTCGCGTCGGAGCGCATGCAAAGACCATTCGCGCTTCGGGGTGAGAGCGGCGCTTGGGCGGAAGAACGACTCCTTTCCGACCGAGAAAGCGGAATTCGCAGGATGTCCTGATTATAGCGTGCGCGCGCTTTCTCGCAGCGGCGAGGTCCTCTCTCGGCCGCGGGAAAACGCGAGCCAATTTTTCATTAACAAACGTTCCGTTCGGATGGATCCGCATTCAGAACCCGGATAGCACGAGCGCGTTCTTGAACGGTCCTTGGTCGACCTGGGTTCGTCCGAGGACACGTCGGGACATCGTGATGACACATCTTAGATAATTTTGAGACATCTCGTGTTATCTGGACACGCTCTCGACGTCGGTACTTTACGGGACTTGGATCGTGTGAGTCGAGTTGGCGAGTTGCTCTTGAAAATCGATCGGATGTGAATCGAAGTTCCGTAAAGTCCGAGTCTCGAAATGAAGGAGCTTTAATCTTCCATCGTTCGTCGACTCAAAAGTTATATTCGCGCGAGAAAGTCGGGAGAAAGAGCGCGACGCGTGATAGATATATCCTGCGGAGCGAGTCGTGTTTTCGTTTCTCTACTTCGTTTCACCCTCCGGTTTCATTGTACGCTGAAGGGACGATCGGGCGTATGTCCGACGACTCCGCGGAGGGACACCGAGCGAACGCGGTGTCCTCCTTGCGATTGACTTGTAACGTCGCGTTTATCCTTGGCGGGTATCGCGCGAAGAGCTTCACTTCTCATCACAGCGAGATGCAAGGATGCGAGCGATTGTCTAACGAACGCGGGATTACCGTGTCCATCGTGTGTGCCTCCGCGGAGCGGTCGCGTTGTTCTTCCACGACGTTGTTGCGGTACCAGGCGAAGCTACCGGAAGAAGCGGACTACCGGCGTCGCGTCTTGTAGTCGAGCCTTGTGTCCTGCTCGGATCGAGTAGACAGCAGAACGCGACGCCGGTGTATGTTAAGGATGCGCGAGTCACCCGCGACTCGCGCATCCTCGTCCCGGAGCTCAAAGTATATTCTTAAAAGAGAGAAAAAAGAGAATGAAGTAGCATCGAAGGGGTTACACTGACATCAAGGTGACCGATACGCACCGTGCTGCTGGCGTCTCGCGTTCGCCTATGTTGAATTTACGCACAATCGATACTCGAGTAGCAATCGAAGTAGCTTCGATCGCGTGCTGGCCGACGACGGTCGACCGCACGGGGATTGATTAGCCGCGGGGGCGTAGGCGAATTTAGAGTCGAGTTCTGGAAGAAAAACACCAAAGTTTCTCCTCATAGCACACGGTACGACAGATATTTCTAGCCATATGCGCGACATACTCGTTTAAGACTACGATAATTATACGTAATAATGTAAAAACTTACACGGTTCCGCTAGAAAAAATTGCCAAGTTCGCCTGCGTTTACGACTTCCTCGCTAGACGGTGCAAACTGTCCGGACGGACGTCGTAAGGACATATAAAAGACGTCGTAAATCTTCGAAACGTCTATTAGATGTCTCCCGCAGTCACTCTCTCTCTCTCTCTCTCTCTCTCCCCCCCCCTCTCCCCCCCTCTTTCCTTCCCTCGCGTCGGTCAGCTTCCGCGCGAAGTGCGAGCGAGCGAGAGCGCGCGCAGCCAGCGCAGTGCGTGAAGTTTTTCGCGATCAAGCTGACGCGTAACTCGCGGTCGGACACGCGTATTTTCGTGAAGTGCCTAAAAACCGCCGAAAGAGAAAGTTACGGCTGTTAAGCGCGACAGCAAGGTCGCGAACGCGCGCGCGCGCGCGGCTTTTCGGCACGCCGACGTGCATACCGGCTGCGGTGACACGCCAACGATTGTAAACGTTTTTCTTCTCACACTATTCCTTTCCCCTTCTTTTTTAACGGGACACCGGATGGAGGCATATTGTAAATAGTATAAATAGCGCGAACGCGAAGATACGTTTAAGCGAAATAAAGAGGATATAATAAGTCTAATACGAGAAAATATATAAGATATATATTATATATATATATATATTAAAAAAGAGCGCATATATAAAAATGTATACGCATACGTGTGCGTGAGCGCGTGCGCGTATACATGTGTGTATAAGATTGTGCATATATATGCGTGTATACGTACACAATTACGTATGTATATACACATATACATACACGTATACATGTATATATTTATCTTGATAAATGATACAGGGCGACGGTGGGTTCGCGATCGATGCTTCCTCATCGTCGCGGCGACGATATTCGAATGAGATTCATTTTTATAATACGCGCATGACGGCTCTCGACCGTTCAAGTAGTATTTATCGCGACACAGCGCGCACGGCATTTTTCTCGAGTTCGCCGAATATCCCCCCCCCCTCCCCGAGAAGGACTTTCGCTCCTGTGAGAGATCAGAGATCGCGTTGCATTTCGCCGATTTAGAGAAACGCTATACAGTGCTTGCGATATTTTTCCTCTTAGCGCGCGCGACAAACGCGCTAAGCTCGTAACTTGTTTCAACAATTATCGGGTTTACGTTCATAAGGCAAGGCCGGGCTAACGATGTACAATCAAGTTCCTATTATTACGATGTCTGATCGAGAATTAGTTACACTTGTTTCGCGAGACCCCGCGCGAGCCGTCATTGCGCGTTCCTTGTATTCTCCCTCGACTCTCTCCGACGTTACGTGAGTAAGACGCTCTGCTTATTCCACGCGCAGGATAAGAGCGAGTTATCCACGGAGATGAGAGGAAAAGGTGGCCGATACGAGCGAACGTGTGAGAGAGCAGTGTCCCGGACGAGGGAGACGGCGGCGAGATGTCGATGGGGAAGTAATCGGGCGCGCGCGCGTCCTGGCGTCGTCGTAAGGAAATTAGGGCAGGAAGCACGACGTTGTAAATTGTATATAGTAGCGCGAAGAACACGACGAAGTTACAGAGACAGAGTTAATTAATTTAAAAAGAAAACGAGAGAGAAAGAAATATATGGGGATAAGAGGAACGGTTGCGTCGAGCGAACGCACGGCGCGGCGCGGCGCGGCGCGGCGCTTCCCGAATCGAAAAAGCGTATCCGTCGTCGCGACGACGGGACGACAACGAGAGTCCGTGTGTAGGCAATCTCTGTGTAGGCTGGCCGGTTGACCTCCGGCGGCCGGTTCTCGCGCGGCTTCCGTTCGCGAGCAAAGTGCGAATCCGCGAACGAGCGATGATCGATCGGTCGATCGGGGACCTCGCTGGAAATTATCGCGCGCTCTCGAGCAAGAACACTCTTCTCTTCTTTGAGTCGTCCGCCTTGATTCGACCTTGACGCCGTGCGCTCGCAACGCGCGCGCCGGGTGCGCGCGTTTCAAACAGTACCGGAGATACTCCGAGATGCGTGTGAATTTGCATCGCGCCGATCACGCGCCGATCACTCGACCATAAACGTAGGAGCGTGGCGTTGCGAGGCCGCTGCGTCTAAAATGAAGAAACCAATGAGAATGAGCAACAACGATTGCAACAACAACAGCACTATCAACAATAATGCGAATCGTGCGACGAGCGTGTGAGGAGTTTTGAGCGAAGACACCGGCGACGATTATCGCCGCCGTGTTTGTTGAGCAGCCGAGACGGAAAACGCGTGCGACTCGGTTCGGGCCCACGTTTGTACTTGCGCATAGAAAGAAAAAGGCACGTGTGCTCCTCGATCATTTAGGAATTGAGAAAATAATTGGTGTATGAGAGAGATTGTACACGAGGAGAGCGAAATCGCAATTACTCTAGTCCTATATGCGGTCGACGAATAATACGGCACACGTGTGTTCGCGAGTGATCGGGCGTGTCGTCATTTCCTTTCGTTTTTCTTTGTTCGAAAATCGTCAAGTTGTATCACGTACTGTTCTACCAAAATATATTAGCAGCAGCGGCAGCGGCAGCGGCAGCGGCAGCAGCAGCAGCAGCAGCAGCAGCAGCAGCAGAACTGACAGCAAAAGCATACACGGAGAGTCGTTTAAAAATCGATATTGAATAATAAAAGATGAAAAAGAAACTGCAGCGCACGATATGAAAAACAAGAACTATCAAAAACAATAAAGAGTATTATTCTATATATAACAATGACTTTTATTGTGTCTGATCTCATGTGTCCCTTTCTCCGAGTTGTACGCAGGCACACGTTTCACGTCACCTGGGACGATTATCATCCCGTAAGAATTACAAAGATAATGTTATCATTAGAAGAGTCGTTTGAAAATATATTATATTTCGATGTATATAATTATCGCCAAAAAAAAAAAAAATACAAAATATTCTTTATCCTCATAAGCAGAAACCATGTTGAAATCGCGTTGTTCGTCGTATATTTCGGTAATGCCTACAAAAATAGCTGAGGAATTTTAACTTAAAATTTTATATATCAGTTTTTTTTCTTTAACCCTTTACGGTCGATGCCGCCACAGTGGCGGCATTCGCAAGTCGTCGTAGAAGTCGGTGCCGCCAGACTGGCGGCATAATGCCATTCATGATCGCCTGGCGCGCGGCACGGCGAACGAGGCTAGCGATAATGAAAGAAAACTATCCTCCCGATGCTAGATTCAAATGTTTAGATCAACTTACAGACATCAATGTTTATCGATCTCTTCGAAATCTGCCGACCGTAAAGGGTTAATTCTCCATATTATAATTCTTATATATCAAATATATAAAGGAGAATATTTGCGGGAAGACAATCTGGGACGCTGTAAGCGCAGCATCTTCCATTTTCCGTTCTTCAATTTGGCGATCTTAGCTATATCAGCTATAAACCGTCCAAGAATGCGCATATTCCACCCTAATACGCGATGAAATAATCTTGCCAGTTTAGCATGTGTCAGTCACTGGAGAACTTCCGACGATCAGCGACATTCATACCATTCCACACTTCCAGCGTAGACTTCTTATCTCAGCCCTATACAGAAAGAATTTCTTCAACGTAAATAAAAATAAATCTAAAATAGAAAAATGACGTGCGAAAAGAAAAGTATCTTTAATAATGAGAAATGTTGAAATAGACATAATTTTGCAGAGTATTTCAAAGCATTTGACTTGCGCGTAGTTGATTCTTGTTTTAATTATAATCTACAATTTTTTTAACGACCCATGCAGTTATATAACATATACTGTAACCTTGTCCATTGGCGGGAGTTTGATTGATATGTGCTTGACGATAAATTCAAAACTTGCAAAAGAAGAGAATCGGTGATCATATCCATCGGTATTACATTCACGATGAGATCCATAACAGAGATAATGTGCGTTGACCTAACGCGTGAACTGCAAGCACGCAAACAACTTTGTTATCGTTGCTTACCTGACTCATAGCTTCGATCCATTCTCATAAATATTTGATGTGCACTACTTTGCGCCATTGAAAGACCTATATCAGTCAGGAATCTATACGCGAGATAAAAGAATCATTAGAATAGGAATAGAGATTAGATAATTCAGTATGAATATATATATATATATATATATATTCATACCATATATATATACATTGGCAAAACACTTGCAGAAAAAAGACTGATCATGTGCCATTAGTACCACCACTCAATCTCAGGAGAGAGTGATATCAGCAAGGTTGCATAATATCCGATTGCGTGTCAACGTCACTTAGAATCGCTGAAATATTTTGCTCATGTGTCGCAGCATGCTTCAACAGGTCTTTCTTCTGTCTAAAAACTTCGTCACATTGGTCGCACTGCAACGATTTACCGTTGTGCGTCTTGACGTGCTTCAACATGTCATTCTTCTGCGAAAAGCATCTGCCGCAGATTTCGCAAGGATACGGTTTGACGCCAGTGTGGATTCTCTCGTGTACTTTTAGCGAATCTTTACGTAAAAATCTTTTGCCGCAATAGCCACATTCATGTGGCTTTAGGCCTGTATGGGTTTTCATGTGCTGGCTCAGATTACTCGAAGATATATAATGTGCATTGCACACTTTACAAACGTAGGGACGTTCGCCAGTGTGTTTCCTTTCATGGTTCAGTTGCGTCTCTTTTGAGACTAAGGATTCTCCGCAATACTGACACATGTATAATTTTTCCTTTAGATGCATAGACTTCTCATGATACTTTAGCGAGCTCTTGCTCGCCAACTTTTTGCCGCATTCTTTGCACTCCACGTAAATCTGATTGTTTCCGTGCGTGTGTTCATGAGCCACCAAATAAATGCGTTTTGAGAACACTTTGTTGCAAACGTTACATCGCCATATTTCCTTGTCGTTAGACTTCCTCTTAATACTGTCCACTATTTCTTCTTCAGTATGGTTCTTTCTGTGCATCTTCAATTCGCTCATGGACTTACACTTGCAAGCACAGACCTACAATATCAAATTAAGTATTTATTCTATACTGTTTTCGATCAGTATTATATGATAATCATCTGTAACATCGGTGAAAGCGATAAGTTGAGTAATTTGTACAGTTTTTTAGAAAGACTCAATATACTGTCAATGTACTTACACTGCATGTATATGCTCCACTCCCGTTGTTATGTCGTTTCACGTGCATATTCATATTCCCTTTGCGATTAAACGTCAAGCCGCAAATTGGACACGAATATTTATTTGATCCGTGCGACAAATGGTGTTGTCGTAGTTGAATCCTCCTGTAAAACGCTTTCCCACACAACTCACAAGTATATGGTCTATTGTCTATGTGTTGATTTTGATGCTCTTTTAAATGAAATCTGTACGAGAATAATATGCAACATAATATATCTAACTTTGATGTATATATATATAAAGCTAACTAAAATAATTTTGGGTAAAACAAATTGCTGCAATTATTACCGTGATCTAAATGCTTTTTTACAGAATTCACAAATATGTTTTTTCTTTTTAGATTCCTCCAAATGAATTCTTCTATGACCTCTTAAGTAGTTGGAATGTTTAAAACTCTTCCCACATAAATCGCAAAGATATGGCTTGTCTAATCTGTGAGTAGCTTCATGAATGTCTAAACTGGACCATCTTTCATAAGTCTTATTACATGTGCAACATCGAAATAATAGTTGTCCTTTGTGAAATTGCTTAATGTGATGTAATAAATCTTTTTTACTAAAAAAAGTTCCTTCACAATGACCACATCCTTTCTTAACTCCTGTTGTAGCATTTTCATGCAAAGACTCGCATTTGTCAAAATTCTGTTGAGTCTTGGATAGTTGACTGGAAACTTGATAATTTACTGGTTGCACTGACTCACAGACCTCAGGTTTATCAGTAAGTTGTTTGTTTTCACATTTTTTATTGACTATTTGAGAATTTCCTGTTTCTAATCCATTGTTAACTGCCACATTCTTGTCGTTTTTATTTTGTAATGCATTATATATAATTGCATGTTTAGGAATATTATCTTTCCTATCAGGCTGTTCAGTTTCAGAACATTCTTCATTTTCTAACTCTTCTAAATCTGTTTCTAAACCAGAATTTGTAATCTTATTCGTAGTAAATGATGCAGAATCATAATGCATACTATTATTCACACATATTTCTTCATTTTTCTCTAACAAATACTTTTTCAATAATGAATTATACTTATTTTCATATTCCATCTGCAACATATTTGTTGACTACATGTATATACTTGCAAATGTTGCATATAAATACTGAACACTTTTAAAATATTTTACATAAACAGATTTTTTTAAATATTACTAAATTGCTAACAGTTAGTATTACACTTACCTTATTCTCAATGTTTAAAAATTTCATTAACTCTATATTAGTTTTTAAATATAAGACAATGAACAAATGTCTCTTGTCTAATTCATTACAACATTCAATGCAAACTTTCCGTGGCATTGCATCATCCATGAGAATTGAAATAGGCACGTGCAAGTTTATCTTTTCTTTTAGCTTAAGCTCTGTACCTTCAGCTGAAAAAATATCTACTCCATTCAGAGTCAACTTGCCACACATTCTACATAAATTGGAAAAGTTGGCATCATGATATTTACTTATTTCTGCATTCATGTTGCAATATGTTAGAGATACATTGTCGCTTGCTTCTTGAAGAGTTTGCAGCTTATCAAATACATTTCTAGAATCTTTATTATCAGTGTATGAATCGGTCCCAAATAGAGTAGGAATAGCACCTTGTTTTATTATAATGGGAGTTTTACTCATATAATAACAATCTTCTATATGATGAGAACAAATACTGTAGTTGAAGTGCAATTCCATATTCGATTTTTTGACTAAATCCAATCTGCCACACTTTTTCGCCCATGTTTTGGCCCTGCACGAAGATTATTTTATGAACTTCGTATTACGGATAAATGGTGATAAAATATCTGTGGTAATTATATTAGTAACAATTATTAAGTTGAAAATTCAAAAGAATGCTGTCTGTTTAAAATCAATTGATAAATAGGTAAACGACAAAATATAAAATAGGTTAATTTGTCGAAGATCAACACTCACGTGTCGTCCTCAGGAAAGTAGATAAAAGTGACATTCGATGAATCTTCAGTTTTTGAAGAATATTTACAACTTGACGCTGCACAAACAACTTTCATCGCTTTCAGACTTCAATTCTTCCTATCAGAATTGTTTTCCACGGAAATATTTCGTGCTCAATTTACAATCTATGGAAAATCAGAAAAGAGATTATACACGCGTATTTGTTTCTAATAATATCGATTAAAGCCGGTTGACACAGGTTGACGCAGCATGTTTGCCGCGCGGCGGAAGTTGGCTAGGGAATACTGCGGCCATTCATCGTTTTGCTTGCCCGGAAATAGCATTTACGAACACGCGGCATTTGGAACGTTGATTGGCTACTGCGATATTTTCTAACTAATTTCTGCTAACTCCGTTTTATGATTGGTTAGTAGAGTCTTGACATTGGCTGCGTTCCAAAATTCACTGCCAGTACTGAAAATCTATAGTATACGTGACACAAACCATGTATTTTCAGTACTGGCAGTGAATTTCGGAACGTAGCCATTATAGGTTTGTTTGTATTGCTTGTACTTTTGACACTTTTGTATCTATGGCTGCGTTCCGAAATCGACTGCCAGTACTGAAAATATATAGTTTGTGTCACGTATACTATAGATTTTCAGTACTGGCAGAATTTACGGCTGAATTTCGGAACGCAGCCTATGCCCGTTGCACACCGGATGTGATGAATAATATCCAATGAGAACTCGTTTTTCTAAAGAGAAGCTAGTGTGCAACAGGCGTGAGGTACGAGAGTGTCAAAAATGTAATAACCGAGAGAGACAAATCGACGATATTTAGCGAAGGATCTCCTGCAAAATGATTGTATTAATTAATTAGATGATTACTACGTAAATATTTATCCCATACGTTATACCAGCAACGAATATTATACATATTTTTGTTAAATACAAAATACAATTTTTGTTAGATACAAAAATAAAGTATACTTTTATATCTTAATTTTAAAGCGCACTGCTCTTGATTTTATCGCACGATTGAATCTTCCTCGATCTTTATAAAAATGTCTATAAAATCATATTTATAAAGAGCGTTCGCAAACACGTTTTCTGCAAGCACAACTTGATATGTTTACACAACTTCATGTGCATTTCGATATGTCGTTTGTTTGCCTTAAATAAATCCATCGTAAGTTTCTCGTAATCTTTTCAATGATTTTGGTTCATATTTGAAGTATTGTATGAAAAATAGGAAGGAAATATCATGAATCATTCACGTATTCCTTCACAGTTAAAGCTCTTGGGGCAGGTTGTCCCAATTCTTTGGTAAGTTGACTGATAGTTAAATCATATGTCTGTCTTTGTCTAAATTAAAGGAAAAGCAAAGACAAAGATATAATATATATAATTTAATAATCAGTTAACTTACCAAGAAATTGGAACCGACCCTTGGCCTTTTTGCACACTCCGCGTTGACAGCGGACCTCCTCTAGAGTATTCTTCACATTGCTAAACATGAGTAGATTCTATTGTGTGCTACGAGTGGTATAAGATAGACAAAAATGGACAACGAGTCTGTCCTTGTTTTATCACTGGATAGCTGCCCACATAGCATGTAAATTACAGAAATATCATAGATTACAAGATATCAGTAATATATTTTTTAATAAAATATCAGGAAAATATTATTGATATATTACTGATATTACTGAACTATTACTCTGATATACGTTTGTAGAAAGACAGACCGTTCTTTCGTCATGGAATTCAACTTCTGCCAGAAAAGTGAGAAAAAGTCATAATTTCTGAGGGCAAATACTTGATTGATGTATTCACACACTTTGGAATTGAAATAAATGCTCAAAAAAACCAGCTTTCAATGCAGCCTCCTAATAATTTTGTAATGCAATTCAGAAGTAACAAATATAAATGTAATTTATACTAAATCAGAAATTTATCTTAATGTCGAAAGTGATATGAAATACAAATATGAAAATACAGATAATTCGATGACCAAACGTATCTTCGTTTATGAATATGAATTCACTTGAGATATTGTTAAACTATATGTATCAAAATGAATCATTTATTTAACAATGTAACATAACAGTTTAACGTCTCGGTCACTCCTTGGTCGAATGTAATCTGTGAAACACTTGCGGATTCTCTATGTTCATAAACAAGCACTTGAAGATATCGTTGTAGAACTCTGGATAATAATCGCATGCTCTCTGGCAATCTGGCATATAATTAATTTCCAACAATTTAGGCTGCATCTCAGAGTCGCACCACTCTAACATCATGTCGGCAGCATACACGGCTCTACTTTGCGGACTCTCAGGAATTCCTCTCGGCGGAGGTTCAGCGGTTGCAGCTTCGAACACCTCATAAAGGACGGAGAGAATTTTCGGCTCAACGTAAGTTTCCCACGGATAATCGGGATATTGATTCTTCCATTGAACAACAAACTCGGCGCATTTCACGTGGTAGAGTGGGTTTTCGTCGGAATAATTCATCACGGTGAAGTGTTGCTCGTACACATCCAAGTTGTTCAGCGCAAACGGCTGATTCGCGAATCGTAGAAAGAAGTTTGCATATGCGTACATGTGTAGTGGCTTCACAGACTTGAGCAGCACGACATACCTGATGTCAAACTTTACTTTGCCAATTTGCAGTCTATCGTACAAAACCGGCTGCGTGATATATTTCTGCACAATTTTAGGCCCTGTATGACGTAACCGTAGAATTTGATACAGATTCTTTGTGATGTAAATGTCGAGGCCTCTCGCTAAATTCCATGGTTTGCATATCCAATGATTATCCAGATTCTTCTCAGCCCGTGCCTTGAAGTAACTGACAAACTGCTTCAGTTCTGTCGTCAAATTATATGTGGTTGGTAACCACGTTGGTAAGGTTTCAAGAGTATTGGGATCGTACGGTTTGCCCTTTGCTTTTCTCCTACATACGATAGCTAAGAGGTCCTTGACTGTTATCACGTTCTCGCAAGGAAACTGATTTATAAATACATGTGGCGAGGAGATGCTTAGTTCCTTAAAAGTTTTGAAATGAGACACAAGCCACAATATCTCTGCTGTTTGAGCTTCATTGGTGATCTCAAATGCTGAGTCTGTTAAATATTTCTCCACATACTCGTATTGTGAAAAAACTTTTAAAGTTTCGTTGTTGTTTATTTTAAATGTGCTTGTTTCTGGCAGAGTTTCACAAATATAATTCTGTACAAATTCTTCACCTGTTTCAAGCTGCTCAAAATTTTCAATATCAAAAGTACTGTGAACCCATGGCAATAATAACAACTCTCTTATACAAGGGCTATCTGCTTGACCCTCTACAAAGTCTCTTGTAACTTCATCTCCCATAGCCATATCTTTTATAGGAAATAAAAGCGTATAAGATATGCCTTTCGACACATGCAGAAAAGGTATTGTTCTGAAATTTGGATTGTCACTATGATTTATTGCTGATCCAACTTCATCCATAATATACCACATTGGCATACTCTTCTCCACATCTTTGGAGTTCAATGAAAAATATTGATTGTATCGCCACATTTCATTCATAATATGCTCAATTATCTCTTCTTTTTCTGCATTGGTATCAATATCCATAAGAGAGCACATACGATTAAGTAGATTAGGTAATTTTGTCAAATGTTGCCGGACAGATCTGATATCATATAACCATGCATGATCAATTAAGTAAATATTATTCGGATTTTGTGCACTAATACCATCATTTGCAGAGACAATCAACTTCCATACTGGTTCTGTCATATGTCTGGTTGTATTCTCATATTCTATTTTTGCTAACTGGAAGACAAGTCCTCCATCTAAGATTTCATTGTCTAACTTTTCAAATAAAACTTTCCAAAATAATTGAGGAACACCAGAAGATTCCAGTTGTGGTTTATGTAACTCAAGAAATGTATTGTATTCACATAAATCTATACCATTCATTGTGGAAACATCAATAATTGGATTCCTAAAATAAAGAAATATTTAATAATTCTTATTTAATAGAATACACACATATGTATGTGTGTATATGTATATCCATTTGCATATATATATGCACACACATGTATCAAAAAATTATCAAACATCAAACTTACATGTCCTTATAGATATATATTATAGAATATTTATACAATATTTATTTATTAAATTAATCATATACACACACAAACTGAGTTGTGTAAAATTATCCTAAATGATATTGTCCTAAAATTAATAAATATTTTAAATATATAAAAAGTACATATCTAATTTTGCTTTTATATTTGATTCTACGTTTTACATTATTTCAAGCGAAACTTAATCAGATAAAATATTTTATTTATTTATTACCTAATTATTAGAGGTTAGGAGAATATTGAGTTTTAGAACACATTTTTCATTAATCTTCTGGAGAAGTTTTGGGAGTTTAAAGATGGCGCGCTTCTATATCACTACACTGGCTGTGTTCTAAAATTCACTGCCAGTACTGAAAATACATGGTTTGTATTATCATAGTTTGTATATAAAGCCACCGGCACACGGTGCTTGTTTCGTGCTGGATGAAAATACTGCGTTCTGATTGGTGCATTTCCATCCATCTTCGAAAATGTACCAATCAGAACGCAGTATTTTCATCCAGCAAGCAATCCAGCACGAAAACAAGCACCGTGTGCCGCTGGCTTTAGTGCTGGCAGTGAATATTGGAATCGATTGGAATACAGCCACTCAAAGGCTAATATATGCATCGTACGATAGGTTTATCGGACGTTCCGATTGGTTGAATTTTTAGGGTACGAAACTTTTTCTCTAAATATCTTAGGCCTGGTCTACAATAGGTGTCGTAAGTTGTAAGCCGTAAGAATTGGCGAATCACAGTCGATTATTACAAAAATAATCGGCTATAATTGGTCAGTTCTTACGGCTTACGACTTACGACACGTATTGTAGAATGAACTTTAAAAATTCCCTATTAACGGCCAATCAAAACGTTTGGTGATGCTCGCGTTTCGAGCTCCTGGGTATCGATCACGTAACTTTTCCCCTAGAGTGAAAAGTGAAAAGTGAAAAATTAGTGGTGGTCCACAAATATTCATATTCATTAATATTTTATAAACTTTTATATATTTTTTAATACTGTTTACAATAACATGTGTAACGTTTTATTTAAATTTATTATTTGCTGCAGTTTACTTACCGATATAAAAGAATAAATTGACTCTCCAATATTTCAAAAGGATTAGATATATCGTGTAAAATTCTCCTTTGTATTCTTAAATTTCTTCTTTCTTCTTCTTTGTAATAGCCACCTGTAACTTGAAATAGCCACCATGCTGCAGCCATAATAAATATTAATAAATACCAATAAAAATACTAATATAATGCAATTCATGCGAAGACAGAAAAATTAATGCGCGCATGATCGACTGATTTTCAACGCAGTAATAATAATATTATATTCCGTATTCGTCGTGTCATTAGATTTTCATTTTTTCGCTAACAAGTTTAATGAAGAAAAGTTTACGTAAAAAGTGATGAAAAGTTTACGTTTCCATGTTTCCCCTAGTTGTATGATCACGGCTAAACAACAAAATTACAAAAAGATATTTTAAGAACATCCAAATGACGTTCTATCTTTTTTTAAATGTCTTTTAGACACACATATGATATTTTGGAGTATTTTGTGTTATCTGGGCGACTTCACGAGAAACTTTTCACTTTTCACTTTTCATTCTAGGGGAAAAGTTACGTGATCGATGGCCTGCATGCAACCGGCCGTAGTGAGATGCTTTATATCGAATATCTTACGATGTAAATCTGCCAGAACAATTGAATATCAATATTGTAAATTCGCCTTTATTCACTAATGGCTATTTTACATCTTCCTGTTAGGAGAATGATGTATGGGTACACCCTTCTACCTAAAGCTATATACCGAATTGAACTGAACATCTTCCTGTTGGCGTTATTACACGTTTTGTACCGGTGAACGTTGAGTTCTGAGCATTTTCCAACAGGTAATTTATTGTTAACTTTATTATCGTTAGTTTATTTGTACAATATTATTGTTGGCTTTTTGTTAATATAATGATATTTTATATTTCAAATAAACAAATGTTTACTTCTAAAGGATTTTTGAGCTTCTGTATGTCGTTTTTACACGTGCATTTTTAACCTTACAATATATAAAATTGTAAAACGTTTGTGCCATATAGCTGTATATACCTTGGGATAAGCTGAAGGCACAATGATCTGGGTTGATCACTATATCGGAAAAAAAATTGTAAAATTGTAAAACAATTTCCAAATCTTATTTCATTATATTTTTGTTCTTTCTAGCTGAAAATCTAAAAACAAAAATATAGTAAAACATTTGTATTTTTAAGCTTTGGATTTGATAGAGTTTATTATGTGAAGTATTCAGTATCACTAATACATTGTTGTAATTTATTTCTTCAAAAGTTTTTATTTTTGTAATCTTGTGTATATATATATATATACACGTGTAATAAAACTCCTGTTTAAGGGAGGATACTGCAGTGATACTGATCTTAATATATGTTGTCAAGGTTATTATTCTGAGCAACATGCAAAGTGTTTTAGCTATCCCTTGTTATTTATTAAAAAGTTATTAACGAAAGAAGTTTCATTAATTGAACATAATTTTTCAACACTATATATTTAGGTACAGTAAACTTTATACATATGTGAGTGGAGAAGAGATTTTGTATTCTTAGAAACATATACTGTCTATAAATATAAACAAAGCAAATATAATTTATTTATTGTACATACCAACAGCATATAATAACATATATATAGTCCAAGGCCCTATACAAAGTTTGGCAATTAAATTTTTTTAATGTTTATTATATAAAATTTGAATTTTGTATATCAATTTGTGCATTATTATTATTTGTGCATTATTATTTATCTGTGTTAGAATTTGTGTCAAAATCTGTTATTTTAGTATCTGTTATTTTAGTAATATATCTTAGTCTCATTGATTTATTAAAGCGAAAGATTTAATTGCCAAACCTAGGGGCCTTTGCTTTTCAGAATCTGTTAATTTAGTATATTCTATATTGTTCATTATATAGATTCATTAATTAGTATTAGTAAAGCATAGATTTATTAATTTAGAAATTAGTAATATGATTTTGATCAATGTATTAATGCTTTTTTTGAACTAATGAGTTCCATTGAATCAGTTAAATACAGTTTAAACAATTTTCTTTCACATTATTTCATGTTATTTCTAATATCTAAGAATATATTATATTATAGGATTATAGGATTATATTATAGGAAAACATTAAAACTTTTTCCTACTTATGAGACTTCTTTGTTTATAACTTGCTAATGATATATATATATATATATATATATATTATATATATTACTGGAAACTAATATATATATATATATATATATATATATATATATATATATATACAGGGTGCTAAATTTCAAACGTAACAGGTAAAAAATCTCGAAAACTATGAAATATTGAAAAAAGTTAAAACACATGTTCCATGATTTCGAAGGAGAAAGAGAATGGCATTATCAGTTTTTTATTTGGAGGGCATTTTCAAGGTCAGTTGAAGGTCAACTTAATTTTCTTAAATGGAAAGCTCAATTTTTATTATATCTTCTTTTTCTACCAATTAATTTTAACAACTTTTGTCTGAAACGTTTTTTTATTTGCCTAATATTTTTTGAAATATTTAAGGAAAAGTTAGTAACTTTTTCAACATTTAACTTAAGATATTTCGCTAACAGTTTGTCGAAAGAAAAAATAATATTAGACCTTTTTACTGTATTTACTATCAATAATATATTACTATAATAGTGCCCTAACTTTTATTAACTTATCGACCTTTGGAAATTTCAAAATTATTAAATTAACAAAAGTTAGGGCACTATTAGTAGTGATATATTCTTGATAGTAAATAAAGTAAAAAGGTCTAATACTATTTTTTCTTTCGACGAACAGCGAGATATCGTAAGTTAAATTATCGTAAGTTAAGTGAAAAAATTACCAAGTTTTCCTTAAATATTTCAAAAAATATTATGCAAATAAAAAGTGATTCAGACAAAAATTGTTAAAATTAATTGGTAGAAAAAGAAGATATAATAAAAAATTGAACTTTCTATTTAAAAAAATTAAGTTGATCTTCAACTGACTTTGAAAATGTCCTCAAAATAAAAAAATGATAATGCCATTCTCTTTCCCCTTCGAAATCATGGAACATGTGTTTTAGCTTTTTTTAATATCTTTCATAGTTTCCGAGATTTTTTACCTGTTATGTTTGAAATTTAGCACCCTGTATATAGTCAATGTAGTCAGATAAATATATATATATATATATATTAACTAGTTTTTATAATTAAGTTTTGTTGGTCTGTTTTAGATTCTAGTAAACAATGGCGAAAACATCTTCAGGACAAAATATAACAAGCCATATTACAAAAAAGTCCTTGTGTTTAATAAAAAATGGTTCGGTGAAGAAATATAAGAAACCTAAATTTAAAAATACACCTACTGGCAAGGTAACTTTAATAGATGATATGAAAGCTAAAAACAAAAATACTCCACAGAAAAATTTCCAGAAACTTGCAGGTGTAAAGGATGACCAAAATTTATTTAAGGGAAAGTTGAAACAATTAGAGGGAAAAGAAAATTCTCCAAAAGAGAAACAAATTCTAGAAGAAAAGAAAACTCCAAAGGGAAAGCAAATACCAAAACGCAAGCAAATTCCAAATGAATCACAAAATAAGCAAAGCAATAAGAAAATTAATGTAAAAGTAAAAAAAGAATTAGGAAAAGTCAGTGATTCCGACTCTGATTCTGACATTGATGAAGGAATTGTACCACAAGAAGAAATCAGTATAATAAATGAAGTATTAGATGAAGAAGAATCTGATGCTGATATCCCAGATATTTTTGGAGCAAGTTTAGGAGATGATTCAGATGTAGATGATTCAGATGTAGACTTTGGAAATGAATTCGATGAAGATTTTGAAGATGAAGAGGAGGAAGAAGATGAACAGGAAGAAGATGAAGATAGTGACGATAGTAAAGAAGAAGAGGATGATGATGATAGTGATGAAGAAACAACAATTGGACATTTGGGTATAAAAATGTTCAAAGGTATAAAATCAAATACCAAACACAAGAATTTGAAAACAAGTGAGGAAGATGATGATGATGATGATGATGATGAAGATGAAGATGAAGGTGAAGAAAATGACACTACAGAGATAAGTATAGGGGGGAATACTTCTGCATTTGAAAGTAATGAAGATGACGATGACGATGTTAAAGACGATGATGAAGATGAAAGTGAAGACGAAGTTGAAGACAAAACCTTTGAGGATGAGGAAGAAAGTACGGCACTTGGCTTAAAAGCACTTCTGGGGAAAACAATGACAGATGATGATGATGAGGATTTTGATGAAGAAGATGATGACTATGAAGATGATAGTGATGAAGAAGAAGATGAAAATGACAGTGATGAAGAAGAAGATGAAGACAATGAAGATGATAGCGAAGAAGATGAAGATGGCATTGCAGTAAAAATACAAGAGAAATCTACAAAAACAAAAGTAATTAAATCTTCTACTGGCAAAGATGCATCTGAAAAGAATGAGCAAGCAGTCAAAAAATCATTATCTCCTGAAGAACAAGAAGAAGTTGATAGAAAAACTATCTTTATCGATAATATTCCAAAAGAGACAAAAATAACAACTCTAAAAAAGGTATTTGGTCAATATGGACCTATTGATAATCTACGTTTTAGAAATATTGTTCCTAAGAATCCAAAAATTTCCAAGAAAGTTGCTGCTATAAAACAAGATATTCATCCAAAAATAGTTACTGTTGTAGCATACATTAAATATAAATCCGAAGAATCTGCAAAGAAAGCACTTTCTATGAATGGAAAAAAATTTGAAGGAAATTATGTGAATGTAAAGATTGTTGCTAAGTTAGGACAAGAGAAACACAATATTAAAAAGTCCATATTTATAGGAAATTTGAAATTTGGTACGTATAACAAAGAATTTATTTTAAAGTATCATTAAGTAAAAATTATTTTGTATGAATTAGTTAATTTTATGTCTTTAAAACTTTAGGCATGAACACCAACGATATTTGGGAGAATTTTAGTAAATGCGGAGAAATAGAATCTGTGCGCTTAATACGTGACAAAAAAACAGGACAAACTAGAGGATTTGGTTATGTTAACTTCAAGTCTGAGGATGCTGTAACTTTAGCTCTAAAATTAGATGGTGTTGAAATTAATAATCGGCCTGTAAGGGTACGAACATGTAGAGCACCATCAGAAAAATCGCAAAAATCAAACAATCAGAAAAAGGAAGGGAAACGAATTCTCTCAAATGAAAACAACGATAATAGACCATTGAAGAAATTTAAGAATTCGCGAAAAACATTTGCTGTAGAACGTCCAGTAAATATATTTCCTTCATTTATATTCTTCATATTAAAATTAGAATTAATATTATTGCATATGAGCTAATAATGTATTTTCTTTTACAGACTAAAGAAGAAGCAAAAGATAAGCAAAAAAAGTCACAGAAAAACAACACGAGTCTCGAAGGGAAAATCTCGAAGTCCTTCCAGGGTCAACAGGCCGACATGAAAGACAAGAAGAAGGGAAGCAAGTTTAATAAGAAAAAGAAAGAGATAGCAGGCAAACTCATAGCAAAATCGAAAAAACAAAAGGCTTGAATGACGTTATATAATTAAATTAATAACTACTACTATAAAACATTTTCTTTCGCACATACATACATACATAATTATTACTGAACTCAGTTATACTATATAAAATATTACTTAACACGTTGACTGTCACGGAATTTTTCACGATTCCGGTCTAAAAGAGCCAATTTGATTTAATCATGTTGTATTATTAAAAACTTTAATAATAGTACATAATAATAATCAAAAAGCTTAAAAAATGTTTTTTTTTTAAAACATTTTTTATTCTCTTTTCTGAGGTCATCTATTCATATTTATACTGTTATATTACGAGTTTCCTCGTAGCTGTACAAATATGGCAAGTAATGAAGGGACGAGATAACTCGTAGTAGGCGTCCTGTACCGCGATTCTGTAACTCGTTGTTGGAGTTAACGACACTTTCGTTATCGTTAACTCCAATAACGAGTTACAGAATCGCACCACTGGGCGAGTAAACAACCTACGAGATATCTCGTAGTTGGCAGTCAACGTGTTAAGAGAATGATTTATATCGCGTTTATTTTATTCAGAAAAAAGTACATCAGCGCATTGGTGCAGAATAGTATGTTCACAGGATAGAACGATCCTCTCCAATAGAAAATATTCGTTCACCATATATAAGCTCTGCACTTGTATATATGAATGATTTTATTAAGCTTTTTTTTTTTAATGTTAATATAACATGTATATCGTTAATACAGTTTAATACATGACAACAATATTCAACAAATTTCTCATTTCTAAAAATCCGCTTGTTTCGTTGATAACTTGCTAATCTTGCCGTGTAGTTTGTTTGGTAAGTTATGCATGTTGCTGGACGCGCACTTCGGGCAAAACCGTTTTGTATAAAATATACTGCAGCCCAAGCACACCGCATGTCCGCACGTGCTACAATCGCCGCCGAGGACCAAAACTTCACCCCTACTGGGTAAACTAAACGGATCTTTCATGACGTAACACTCTTCCAAGTAAACCAGCTGCCGTGCGAATGGTGGCCTCGTGCCTTTGTAGTCGTAGTGTTCTTTCAGGGAACAGAAGGAACACGCGAAGGTCCCGCCTGATCTCGGCGTCATTTGCTGACTCGCTACATTATCCTGTTCACCTCGTCCGCTGGATTCGCCCGCTGGCACGTCAACGGATTCTTCCGTCCTACAAATTAACAAGAAGTAGAGTCCAAACAAGTATAATACATGGCGTACTCTGTCGGTTTTTTAACATAATATCGCTTTGACTTTGATTTTATATGCTCTATATAACACACAATTCCATGTGACTATTATGATTCTCTGTGCCTTCGTAACGACAATCCGTCAATATAACATGCGATTTTCATCAGGTCCTCCTCACATCACTACGTATCTTTAGCAGAGATTGTCTCCTTCTGAGGCTCTTGAGGCCACCAAGCGGGTTTCGTCACTTTCACGTTCACACCCGCTACATTCAGCTGCTGAGCACTCAGAGATTCGTTGATACGCATCAAGCCCAATCCATGCTTCTCGGTGTAGCCCCGAAACTTTCCCACCACGTTGCCGGACTGATCGAGGATTTTCTCGTCGTATGACAGCGGTTTATCTGCGATGTTTTCAAACGTCAAGGGCATCAGCCGTTTCCTTACCACGCCAGTGTGATATGTGCGCGCCGTTAGTTCCTGACCGATGTAGCAGCCCTTGTGAAAGCTGACGCCATGTAGATAATCGCAATTGATCTCCAGAGGCAACGCTTTCCCGGGTGGCAGATCTTGCACACCTTCGCCCACTCCTAGTTTATATCGAAACGCTCTGTAGTCACTGGCGTTTTCCGATGAGATCACGTCGTCGTCCAAGTGCTTGATTATATCGTGTGTCCCGATATGCGACTCGGCTAAAATCCTTAGGCCTAGATCAGGTAGTCTGGGATCCTCGAAGATCATGATGTTGTCGACGAACTTGCTAGCTTTATTGTTTAGCGTGCCACACGGAAAGATCATCCCTTCAACCTTGCGTTTGCCATTCTCATCCAGCGCGGCCGATCCATGATCGAAACGGCTGCTTGAATCGAACATCGTCCAGATGTTGATTTTGTCACCTGTATGTTCCACGTCTATCTTTCGTTTCACGCGATACAATCTGAGGTGTCTTTGCAAAGACTCGGCGATTTGCGAGTCACATTCTAGGTAATACGAACTGCTTTTCTCGCTCTTGTATATTATAGCGTCGTACAACACTCGACCTTTGACGTTCAAGAACAAGGTGTAGATGTTGGAGGCACCTTCTTCCAGGTGCTTCATATCGTTTGTGATTAATCCTTGCAAGAAATCGGACGACTCATTGCCGCTCACATGTAGTAAGCATCGATCGTTTAGGCGTTCTAATATCTTGTGATTCGTTCGGGTGCAGCTGTGTCTGATCGTGTATTTTTGATAATCGTCGAGCCTTTTGCTTCGCTTGCACATTTGGGAAGCAAATCGGCTAACGCGGATAATCATTGTGGCGGGCATCAAGATTCGAAACAAACGTCTTATTTCTACGAAAAATACATGCAACCAATAGAACCGGTGTGCCACAGTCTAACAGGATCCTAACCTCTAAGCAATCTATACCTGCCTTACGTTATATAATAATATTGAAAGTGCAAAGATACCTGGTCTTACATTCTTTGAATCTTTATACACGACAAGCTGTAATCTATTCCATATATTTGACGAGTCATAAATCTGTGTGTCTATTTGGAGTCTTGAAATTGCATAACCTAACCTAAGTCAGTTTTATCAGAATGTTGGACGATTGAAGCATAGAAGCGTCGTCTACAATGGCAGTAAGCAGTAAGGCCTGGTCTACAATAGGTGTTGTAAGCTGTAAGCCGTAAGAACTGACCAATTATAGCTGATTATTTTTGTAATAATCGACTGTGATTCGCCAATTCTTACGACTTACAACTTACGACACGTATTGTAGATCAGGCCTGAGAAGTAAGCGTGAAAGTAAAGGCTCGTCTACAATAGCTGTAAGAGTAAGGCTGTAAGGTTGCAACGTAAGCTGTCAGCGAATGAAAATATTTCATTTCGTGTCTTGCAACCTTATAGCCTTACTCTTACAGCTAATGTAGACGAGCCTTAAGGCCTGGTCTACAATACGTGTCGTAAGTTGTAAGCCGTAAGAATTGGCGAATCACAGTCGATTATTACAAAAATAATCGGCTATAATTGGTCAGTTCTTACGGCTTACAGCTTACAACACCTATTGTAGACCAGGCCTTCGGGCCAGAGCACAGACTTCTGCATAACGCATAATACACAACGCATAAGAGAATCAACCAATCAGAGTTCTTCATTTCTGTCCTGAGGAGGGAAATGAAGAAAACTAATTGGTTTATTCTCTTATGTGTTATGTATTATGTGTTATGCAAGAACCTGTGCTCTGGCCCTAAGAAATGGACCAACCACAGTTGATTATTTTTGTCATAATCGACTGTGATTGGTTTATTTCTTACCGCTTACGCTTACTTCTTACTGCTTACTGCCATTGTAGACGACGCTAGACATAGGGCAAGAGCACAGGCTTTTGCATAACACATAATACATAACACACAAGAGAATAAACCAATTAGTTTTCTTCATTTCCCTCCTCAGGACAGAAATGAAGAACCCTGATTGGTTGATTCTCTTATGCATTGTGTATTATGCGTTATGCAGAAGTCTGTGCTCTGGCCCATAGGAATATAGGGACAGAGCATAAGCCCGTAAGATTGGCGAGGGGAGTTGTACTGAAATGCGGGGAGCGACTGTGCCTAAGTTTCATTGGCTATAGTAGTGCGCATATTCAGAGCATGTGATTGCAACGACTTGGCTGTCACTGGAAAATAGTAAATGTAACAAAATGATAAGAACCATTTACACTGATAGTATTTTGCAGAGGTTATGCATGTGTCTTTTTTTTCATAATTTCACTCAAACACAACTTCATACACATCTATGTATGTATCAAATACTTACACACGGCACATCCACCAATTAGATTTAGGCACAGTTTACCTCGTCGCACCGTCCCGCAATGGTTATCCCCCAGCAACTCTATGGCCTGTATTCATAGTCCGGTCTTATATTTAAGATCGTCTTAAGTCCATCTTCAGATGCTGTATAGATCATTTCATTGGCTACAAAATATCTGAACGTGTACTCAAGACGGTCTTAAATATAAGATCTGACTATGAATACAGCCCTATGCTCTGTCCTTATATTCCTATGTCTATGATCAACTTCTGCCGCACGGCAAGTGTTGCCGCGTTCACGTTGGCCTCGCGCCTCGCGACAACGCTCACTTGTTTCGCAACCGCCTACGGACGAAAAAATATTAAAACATTTTTATGGGAAATAAGATTTCTTAGAATTTAAATTTGCAAATATTTATTACATGTCACAATTGTATCTGTGAAATAAATCAGTAATTTATTAACTCGGCAGTATAACCGATAACGATGAATAGTAAATGATAAGTTTCGCGAGAGTCACATATACTTTTGCGATGAATCTCATTTTATTTATTTCCTTTATTTTAACAAAACGGTGATAATCACAATTATAGATAGATGATATCAGTCGCACGCATTTAATAAGGCGATTAGAATTGTTTCATCTTGCATTCTTTGTCGCCGTTACTTAGCTTTTCTAGTAGCCGTTTTAAGTGACAAATTTAAGAGAACATTACGATACATTTCGCAAAATGGATATAAAATAATTGTTGGTATAAAATACACTTTACAAAATTTACCTAGGTATATTGTATCGTGAGATTCACTGATGCGACCTTCTCTTCATTATTTTTCAATCAATATTCGTTTTTCCAGAAGTCATTTAACTCTAATCTAAGTAGTGACTTAATCAACATTTTCATTTCGCAGATTTAAACAATTTACTTTTCAGGAAAGAATTTTCAAAACGAATATGTATCTGTATGTGTTGTAAGTATGTGTTGTACAGATTTTAGCCTGATAAATAAATGTATGAAGCGTGAGAACGACTGAAAAGTGACATCGATACGAACCGATGGAATCTAAAAATTACCACATTCGTAGATGGGATCTTCAACGAAAGTGGGAAATGACGACAGACAAATTAGTTGCGACCTTTCAACGTCTAACGATTCTAACGATTGTATCGTATTACATGTTTATTCAACGCGTGAGTGCAGGATATGCGAGATGGATTATTCGGTTGTACAGTTTTATCCGGCAATAAATATATAGTTTCTACGTGTTAATAATATATTTTTAATTGGATAAAAGTATTCGCGCGGTACAAAAAGTACGGCATAGTTTTAGAAACATATGTGCGCGGCGGCGGCGGCTGTGCCAATCAATTAACCATAGCCAGTCTTCTTCTTCTTCTTCTTCTTCTTCTTCTTCTTCTTCGTCTAAAATTCCGACCACGGGTGACGCTAATTATACTCATACGGCAGCGTGGCGGACCGGCGCGTAAGTATTAACAATCGAATCGTGGATATCCGAAACGTCCACGATCGTATGAATTTGACGGAGCAGCGGTTCTCAAACCCTTTAATCGCATGTTTATCACTCGAACTTCTTTATCACGTAGCGCATCTCGCAATTCACAACAACGCTCTCGGAGCTAATCGGAAGAGCGCGGACTCACGACGAATCTCAGGATGACAGTTTGAGCATCGCTGCGCTGTTGAGCGGTCTTAAATACGATGTGTCGCGCGTCACTTATCCTCGTATACCCTATACTACACATCACCGCTGTTAAGAGGCGCGGTGTCACACCCCCTCGGACTACGTCGAAGTCCCTCCTCTCTTTTTTACACATCCTTTCGTTACTCGTATACAGTCCGGTCCGATCGGACCGTTATTACAGGACCATCACCAAGCCGTCGCTATTTACACCCTCGTTATTGCACGGTAAACGTTGGTGTCGAGACGCGGCGACTGCGAAGAAGGTCGCGTGTAATGATCACACGCTCAAATTACAATTAATCCCTACGGGCTAATAATAATGGTTACACATCGCGCTCTTCCGCTGTTCTACAATGTTCACACTACGATATCTACGATAAGAGGAGACTGGCCAGAACATGTGCAATTTATTATTGCTTTGGCTATGAAGTGTATAATAATATCTTAGTGTACCGGCTACCTCCGTGGGCATCTCTATAACATTACGCGCGTCAGCAAACGGCGAAGCGAGTCTCGTCCCTCACCGCAGAAAGCCCGTTTAAAAATTGCTCTGCGTTTTCTCTCCCCTCACCTTCTCTCTCTCTCTCTCTCTTTCTCTCTCTCTCTCTCTCTCTCTCTCTCTCTCTCTCTCTCTCTCTCTCTCTCTCTCTCGCGAACAGAAGTTACCGCGCCAAACCTGGCCTGCTTTTTTTCACACTCTCAGCTTTATATTCGCCGCAACGCTCGCACCAGTAACCCGAAACAGCTCTTTACGTTAAAATTTGCCGTGGACGAACGGCGAGGCAATATGACCTGCGCGCAGCAGACAGTGCTGGATCGTACCGAAATAAAAAACGCGGGCGTATCTGTCGTTCTGTAAAGAGTAACTTTGTTACTGCAACTGCCGTGTGCTTCGAGCGGCAGTAATCTCCATTTTATGGGGCTTTGGCTCTAAAGGGAAAAGCGCACGGGGAACAAAGCGGCCGATTAATCTTGTTCGAATAGTCGCTGCTGCCTCTCGCGGTGCTTTTCGCTTGCCACGGCTTCGACCGGCCGATTGGTTGGCTTGCGGTTGTTCCGATATATTCTCGAAGATTACGAAGAAACATTAATCGCTGTCGTAAATGCGAGGATTCGTGTTCCAGCGGTGGAGCAGAAAGCAAAATCCGTCTCGTATGTATATATACGACTTAACTGCGGTTGTACGATGTATTAAATGCGCGTACGCGCGGAACCATGCCGTTGACGTTCGTGTCGACGATCTCTCACGCGGCTTGCTCTTATCCCTTATGCTAAATTGCACTGTCGCTCTTTACACGCGGACCGAAACGCATTCGAATGAACGTTTTCAAAGGACATTCTCGTGCCGCGTGTCCGTTGATGCGGAGTCGCCGCTTCAATAGTGTCTCTTTAATCGTCAGAACTCAAAGTCCCCCTCCTCCCCTCCCCCCGATCTCGCCGCCGAGTATCTTGGTACGCCTTGGTCTTATCTCGGATTGATCTTCCGTCACGATCAAAGCCGAAAGTTGGTGTCTTCAATGCCTGACGTCCACTTCGTCCGTCGCTTGGTTCTCCAGCGTGCAGGGTCTGTGAAATTCTTGTCCTCTCTCGTGCAGCCATTTGTTCGCAACTGCAACGCGAAGAAAATAATGTGTAACTTATGAAACTCCAATACGACGCAGTTCGCTTTTATTTAACGTACCCCACTTCGATCCCGTGAGCACCGGGCAAGCGGCATGTCTGGTCTTGAAGTCACCCTCGCCGTTGGGCTTGAGATTGTACCAGAACGCCGCGCTGCCCTTCCGCGGCCAGAGCGAGATGTTGATGGCGGTAAACACGGTGCCGCCGCCTTGCTCGACGTCGCTCATCTGCAAATAACAGCCACGGTCGGCCACTACGAACTAGTACTATCGATATAACATGGGTATTTCTACAGCCGGATATTCGGGTGCACACATTTGCGGATGTTATTCAGGTCCTCAACCCATATTCATATTCATGAATATTGTCTCGGCAAACAGAAAATAATAACGAGCAAATAGTCACGAGTCTGCATGCGTTCGGTTGTTAGAAAAATCAATTTGTAACGTCTGAAATTAACTCGGACCGCGCTAAAGTTGATACAGCATTGTTACAGATAAATAAATAATCATTACAAGTATATATAATATATTATTAAATATTATCGGGGATAAAAATAAATAAACTACATACAGGGTGTCCGGGATCTTTTGGAAACGAAAAATTGTGAAGATTAATCAGATCGAACTGAGAAGAAAAGTCAAGTAGCATTTTGCAAAAATCGCAATAGTTATTAAGTTATTAATGATTGAAAATGATCACATCTAGAAGCTTTTTTAATTGATAACTTGAAAATTTGTGTACTTATTTGCGAAATGATAAAAGACCTTTTGTTCAGAATGATCTAATCTGTAATTATATGACGGCTGTCATGTTGTGCCTAGCGACAGGTTCAAGATTCAGGGTTCAAAGTTCAATATATTCATATCTATCGCTAGACACAATAGCCGTCATATAATTGTAGATATAGTCGTAGATTAGGTTATTCTGAACAGAAAGGTCCTTTACCCATTTTGCAAATAAATCATGCAGGATCGTCGAACACTTACATAATATAGAACCGTGGCGATCCTGTTGCCGGTTCCAAGGCTCTTGAACGCATTTGTCTCTTCTTTCTGGAAAAGCGCAGGAAAATCGTGTCGTTATTTATCGTGGAAGAAGAAAAGAGAAATCGCGCGCTGCACGAGCGCGACTCACCCTAGCGAAGTCGAAATGCGGCTCGTAGTGGCCGCCGATGCCATAATTGACGACCTGGAGCTCCTCGGCCGTCTCGACGGACATGCTCGTCATGTGCTCCACGCGCTTGCTCACTGCCGCCACGTGCTTGTGCTCGTGTTCTTGCAGCCAGGCGCTCTTGCTGATTCGATAGTTTGCAATCTCCAAGGCGCCGGTCTTGTAATTCTGCACCGTGGCGCGCTTAAACTGCAAACAAACGCAATCGCTGTTACTTCAGGAATCCCCACAATCTCGCCGCGAGCATCGCGAGAGAGACGCGCTGTTCAAATGGCGGGGCTGGGCGAGGAGCTGCGGGGTAGACGGCGAAGCAGCGATATTTTCGTTTCAGCTTGGAGATAATTTTCGCGGGACAGCCAATACCCTCATTACGCGCTACGTGTTCGAATATATTTACCCTGGGTTGCGCCATGCGCTTGATCGTCTCGATCTCCTCATCGTAGATTACGTTGTGATAAAAAACTATCCTGGGATCCAGATAAGCCTCCTCCTCCTTGAACGGCGCGATCTTCAGGAAAGGAATTCCACGGTCAACGTAACGACACTTGAGATTCTTCTCCACCTCCAGCGGGATAGATACCTCGCCGCGACAAAGCATCTCGTATCTCTCCCTCTCCGTCATCTCCTCCCACGTTTTCACCCTTTCCTCAGCGACAGTGAAATTCTGCAAGCAATAATGAACTTTATATACGCTCGTGCGAGCAGAATTATGTATCTTCAAAAAAAAAAAAAAAAATACATATATATGTATACACAAGTTGACAACAAATTCCTCCAGTTCGCCGTTTAACGATCTTTCCTAAAATACGGGCATTAAACGCGTTTAATTCCTCGGGTTGAGAGTCAGAGCCGTTAATCCGGACGATTTAATAATGATTTCACCTGTTCCGGTATCGCCGTGTCGTCCTGCCCGTCCTCACCCCGCTTCTTCTTCGACTGACTGGCCTTGCTTTGGATCTCCTTTTGGTAGTACGCACGGTTTCCCAGCGCTCTTTCGTGCGTCGGCACCAATTCGAGCAGCTCGTTCGTCATGCTCAGAGCGCGGGCGACGTTACCTAGTCGACGGTAAAGATGGAATAACGTATTTGCGACGGCCCGCCGTTATGTTAGCGTTAAGGGACAGCACGAGTGCCGAGCGCGAGTGTGAGTTGTTTCTTTAAAAACATCCCCTTCCGCCGCCCCCCGTCCCCAAACACGCGTCCCACGACATGCATATATAATACCCAGGGGTTAGAACCTTGCATGTAAGTGGAAAACGCCAAGTACTCCAGGATGTCGGGCTTCGAGGTGGTGGTGGCGTTCTGTTCCTCCTGCAGACGGTCCATGGCCTCTTGCATCCACAACACCGTGTGATAGTAGTCGCGATTGTGATAAGACTGCCGGCCCAGCTCGAAGCAGTCGCTCGCTGCAACGTGAAATCGTCATCGCGTGTAACGCGAGAAACGCGCGGCAGAAGAGGAGCAAGGTCGCCGGACGCGGGACTGGATTCCCACTGTCACGCGAAGAGTGATCGGTTGGATTGATCGTGAACGAACCGAGCGCGCGGTTTAATTGACGAGAGCACGACTGTTCCTGGTCACTCGAGTCGAGTCCGCTTCACAAGCACCGGGGATTCTGTTCCCATCGAGCAACCCGTACTTGATTCGTTCACTGTCGCGTTATTCAAATCTTTTCTCTGTGAGCCGAGTCCGTTAATCCCTTGCGCTATGATTTAAATCGCGACAGCACGTGCCGAAGTTGGTGATAACATTGCATCTTTAATGTCTTAAATCGCAAGTCACAAAACGCAAATCGTAGATGCAGAACATTGACCAAAATATGTAAAAATTCAACCACGAGTCTCACTTGTATTTCTTATATTTGTGTCGCGGTCCGCAAAGTATCGTATATCACGAGTCTCACACGATATTATAGGACAAGGGGTTAATCTTCCGTCTAATTTTTGCTTTTTACTTGGAACAATCGAGATGTGATCGGATACTGTGAATATTCCAACGCGGAAGCGCACACGACCCGAGCAAAAAATTATTAGGGCTATCCTCATGAAGCGTAAGGCCCCGATAAGGCTTAAAGTAAAGATGCTCTAAAAAGGGATGTTTCATTATTACCACATCAGGCCCCGCGATGGATCTTTTAGGGGTACCTAAAATTTAGGGGTATCAAAATTGCATTTTGAAACGTAGCAAACTTTAATAAGAACAATAGCAGGATTTTTATATGTAAAGAATGCTACATTTTATTGTAAATTAAAGTATACTATATCTTTAAAATAAAAATTTCTTATATACTAATAAGGTTATAAAGAAATAAAGAAATTACGATCTAAATTTCTTGGAATGAAAAGAACGAATATTTTTACTCAAGCAATAATAAAAATATTTCTTTATAAGGCTCTATTAATATTGTCTTATAAGGCCCTCATAATATTGCCTTATAAGGACCCGTTAAACTATTTTTACACATCTTATAGATCCTTGTCTATCTACCCGTAGGACCTGATTAATGTAACCTGATTAACCTAGGGAAAAATAATCAGGCCCTTACCAGAGCCCTATTAATTTTTCTACACGGGGAGATTGTTTCAACGGAGGATCCACGGACTGCCCGCTGTCGCCGCCTAGACGGACAGAGTGAGAATCCAGCGTAGCGCGTGCGGTGCATCCATCGCGTCTCGGTAAACGCCTCTCAAGAGGCTCCCAGAATCACGGAGTGCGTTTCTGAGTGGGATTTCTTTTCATCCGGCTCGCGGGGAAGCGCGCGGCGCGGCCACAGCGACGTCGGAAAAGTTAGTCTGTTAATTAATTTTGCTCCCGCGAGCCGCGAGTCGTGCCGCTCCGCCTTTCTTCTCACCGCGAAAACTCCCGGGCCGTCGGCTGTATTATACGCATTATATTCCGCGTTCTCTTCTTTCCTTCGTCTCCATAACGCGGGGAGTAAAGTGTGCGTTGTGAAATTTGTTGTTTATCGTGATACTCTTTTGCGCCCGGCGACGTCGCGGTGAACCGCTGCGCTCCGCCCCGGTGGTCGTTATCGTCGTCGGAGCGAGAAACAATCGCCCGCGAATTCCGACGGCTCGTGACGATCGAATCGGTCGACGCGAGGAGAAATCGTCCGTGCGTTTCTCCATGAGCGTGAACAGGATTTTGTTTTCGCTTTTTCACGGTGAGAATCGGGACGTTGTTCGTGCAGAGTTTTTTTTTTCATCCGCAGAGTTACTCGCGTCGCGTAAGGATTGCAGGTGTAAATAGAATCGCACGAACCATCTGAGAGAAGGAGAAGCAGGAATGTTACACGTACCAGTCAATCCGGTGCTGTATTGCACACCATTCAGGACACCCTTTGCAACCTGCGCGGTCTCGAGCTTATACGTGTCCTGTAGCCTCATCAAAGCGACGGCGGCGCCATTGAGGTCCTCGTCGGTCGGGAATTTTAGGTCGCTCCTGGAATTCGTGATGTTAGCGACGAAGGACTTGCCGACGTCCTCGGTTATCAGTTCCTCGACTCTTTTCCAGTCGGTGGTCAATCGTTTCACCAGCAGATAAGCGTTTATCGGATTCGACAGGTACTGCTGGATGTTTCTGGATGCCTCCTCGTGTTCCCTCGCATAATCCTCCACGTTCCTGCAAGAGAAAAGGAGGAAGAAAAAATGAAAGAGCGAAACGTGTTCGTTCGGAAAACAGCGAAAAACCGCGATAGACGATGGATCTTCCTTCGTTCTCTCTCTTTCTCTCCCCCTTCCCTGTCCATCTCTCACGTTCAGTCTCGCGATTTCGTCCTCCGTCCGTCGTTTCATCCGTTCGATTCTCTGTCTCGTCTCGTCTCGCAGTTGCAGCGGGATGCACACCGGAAATAGTTTCGGTGTTAAGTCCACACATTCGGTCGCAGCAGTTCGCGCAACTTCTAATGGCGTGAAATAATTTATCAGGCAGTTGAAGGCTTCCTAGATTATTCAGTCGGTCTCTTTGCACAATTCGCGCGCGCTAGCTACGTCGCGTCGTCGTCGGCGACGACGTGAGAAATTTGTCACGAACAGCGAATTTCAGCTGAATCAGTCCCTAAACAGCGTTGAAATTCAGCGACAAGATCGCGCGCGCGCGCGCGCGGTTGCGTTGCATCGAAGCCGCAGCCATTAGCCGCGGACTTGCCGCGGGCTCTTTCGCGGCTCCGAATAATTTATGCTGAAGTAATCAATATTATTTTGCGGAACTCGCGCGCTTTGTTCCATCCGATTTTCCCTGTTCCTTGTGCCCGACACGAACCGCCGCGGACGCGCGCTTTCACAACCAACACCAGAGCGCGAAATTGACCTGCCTCGCGTGTAACCAAGTCGAGCCAGTCGTGGGAATTTCGCTCGCAATCATTACGCTTAGTTCTGCAATTAATTGTTCGGTATCCGCGCGATCGTTAAGTAATTCAGAGTCGCGCGGTCGACGAGGCGTCGACGACGACAACGACGGCGACGACGATGATTTCTTATCTAAAAGGAGGAAATGAGAAGGAGGGCGAGAGCGCGCGCGCGCGCGTGCGAGAGACAGACAGAGAGAGAGAGAGAGAGAGAAGCAGTATTCCGCGCGACTCGCCGTCCAATTACAATCGGGACGCGATTCTATCGTGATATCAACTTCGCGGCAAACGACAGAGACGTTTCCGACACCTGGCGACACCATTGTCCTCGACGTTGCACAGTGCTCGAGACGCGGGATGTCTTTCAAGAGAGAAAGAGAGTGAGTGAGTGAGTGTAAGAGAGAGAGAGAGAAAGAGAGAGAGAGAGGAGAGAAACGCGACTGACTTATCTCGCGCCGCGAATCTCCGGAACAGATGTTCCCGTCGATTCGTTTAATGTATAGCCGAGACGAAACTTTTTTCCCCGCGTATCACGACAGACCGTCGGTCCGTCGAAAGAGACACTCCCGATGGCGCGTTCAAGTGCGATAGAAGTGCACCGGTCACCGTGGGAGAAGCGTAAATCAACTTTCTTGCGAGTGTCACATCCGGGGGGAAATTAATGATTCTTTCCTCTTACGAAAGTACAACGCATTGAATTTGGAGATACAGCAAAAGTTCGCCGAGAGAGAGAGAGAGAGAGAGAGAGAGAGAGAGAGAGAGAGAGGGAGAGAGAGGGAGAGAGAGGGAGAGAGAGGGAGAGAGAGAGAGAGAGAGAGAGGGAGAGAGAGGGAGAGAGAGGGAGAGAGAGAGAGAGAGAGGGAGAGAGGGGGAGAGAGAGAGAGAGAGAGAGAGAGAGAGAGAGAAAGAGAGTAGACCCACATTGTTCCCTGTAATAATCCTGTATCTGACAAGCGGAACGATGTAAACGATCCGAACACTCGCTTCTCTTCGTCGTGAGGCGCTCGCAAAAGACTATGAATCATGGCCGCCGTCGAGAGATAAAATTCACTTTTAGGATAAATCGAACAAGCACGAAGGGAAACACAGTCAGGTCACGTGTAAGGCAACGTAGATTCATGTATGACTCATAGTCTCGTTTAAAAAGCGCGCTTTTTACTCGAAAACTCGAACTGTTCGAAGGAATCGCAACGTTCTCTCCTCATTCCCTTCCAGACTCGCCGTATCGCGACTTAACGTCACGCTGTTAACCTTCGAAAGCCGAGATCGTATCCGAAAGCCTCGATTTCGCGTCTCTTTATATTCCGTCGCTTTTAGAACTTGTTTTCCCGATCGCGCCACGAGATAAATAGGTCAACAAGGCCGATAATTTCAAATTCGTCCCCCGCCTGCCGGGTCGCGCGCGCGCGCGCGCGCGACTTTCGCGGAGCAAACAACGAAGCCAATCGTAAACAAACGCGAGATAAAAGGGCCGGCTTGCCTGCTACGTTCCCATCGGCGTCGCGATTGGTCGATCGTTAGCCGGAGGTAAATGACGAGGCGTATAAATTACGGGAATAAACGCGGCAGGTGCGTGTGACTTCCAACACCTCTCTCTCTCTCTCTCACCTCCGCGGCGCCGCTCGCACCTGACATTCGCAGCTGCCGCGGATTGCGAGCGTTACCGCGGCGCTTCGCGAAGTGCTACCACTCTTACGCGTCGGCACTCGTTACGCGATCGCGAGACCGGGATAAACCCGAACCGTCGATATCCGGATGCCGTTGATGGGTCTTAAAAGTCCCGGTATGATCGTCCAATCACACGCGATACATTTGCGCCGCGGTGCATTCGAGGGTACGAGGTAACTCCATTAACAGAACGCATTATCAGGGAGATACTCCCTGCGCCCGGCACCGGAATCTGAAGCGATCTCTCTCCCTAGGATAATGACGTTCACTGTATCAAGAGAAGATTCGTGCTGCTGAAAAGAAAAGACCGGTGAAATATCACGCTGCATTCTTCTTTTTCGTTTTCTCTTCATCCTGTTATTAATGAGGCGACTTCGAGATAGATCTTGATATTCTTTGTCAGCGCAACTTCCATGTATATCAATATACGACTATTTCGTCGAAAATACGTTCGCAAGCAAATCCTCGCAACTCAGCGCGTTACGCTGTCGGCCGCTGATTAACTTTACGTGTGTCAAGTACCTTCCGCACCCCCGGAAGAAGTTATCTACCATATTCGACCATGAGATGTTTCTGTTCCGAATAACGACACATACACTCGAGGGTGAAAACTTTGCGGGGCTAAGGGGGGGGGGAGGGAGAGGGAAATCGTATATCTCCTTTCGACGCCGAGTACATCGCAGCCAGGAAGTGTGTCGCTAAATCGCACGACGAAGATTAAGCCCTTTCACGGCGACGAGGTAACGTCAACGTCCGACGGGCGAGCCGAGTTATCTCGACTCCTATAGCTCGCGCAACGGCGAGCGTTTCGAGACGGCCGTTAACAGAGAATGCGCCACACGCGCGCGCTAACGAATAAATGACACGTCGATACGGCGCGGAGGGCTCTATTAAAAACGACATGGCGGCGGCGGCCCCCCGGCGGCGCGTTCACGCGCGCATCGTGCGAAAGACAGGCACGGTCTTTCTTTCTTTCTCTCTCTCTCTCTCTCTCTCTCTCTCTCTCTCTCTCTCTCTCTCTCGATAACGATAGTTCTTTGTATCGCATCCAGCTCGCAGTCAATAACGAAAGCCGTCTCGTTAGCGCGATTTTTCACCCGTTCCCGGCTTCTCTGCCTGTCGTGTCAGCCGTTTTCGCAGCGCGTGCGCGCGTCCCATCGCTTCGACGACAGATTTTAATTAACGATACGCGCGTGTGCGATGCGCTACGCGGCGCCTCGAAGAGATGATCGTTCGGTCCGGCGGCCGCCTCTCGCGACCGCTTCACCTTCGTCTCTTTTCTCCCTTCGACATGCTCGACGTGCCGCGCACCCCTCGCGCGAACGAGACGAAAACGAGAGAATGAAGAAGAGTCTACCGGCGCGCATTCGACTGGGGTATGCGCCAGGCTGCTCTCGACACAACGCGCGCGCCTTTGTAACTTCAGCAACGGATACCTCACGCTCGAGATTTCTTCTTCCGAAATCGGGACGATGCGCTAACTTTCTTGAATTACGAGCGAATGAGAGGGCAAAGGGGCGGGGGGGGGGGGAGCGAAGAGTTTTAAAATAAAGGGACGCTGAGTGTTGTTTACGCGAATCTGGAAATTTACTCTCCCCGGAATTCGTTCCTCCCTGCCCTCTCTCCGGAATTTGCGGCCCAGGTTCTCCAGCGTTGCTCCAGCGTTGCTCTCCGCGGTGCTTCGCGTTTCAGGAGGCCAGCCGGGAGGCAGGATATGTTTCGTCGCGGCATTATTAAACGTCTCCGGCATTATTAAAACACGCGTTTACTGTTAAATTCGCCGCAAGAGAATCAACGGCTGTATTCCCGACGTGTCTGTCGGAAAGGACATTTCCCTTTCTCTCCCCGGGTGGGTCCTCGCGCTTTAATCTCTTCCCTCCTATTTTTCATGAACAACGGCCGCGCTGCTCTGTGTCGTATTTGCCGCCGCCGTCGCCGCCGCCGCCACCGCCTCCGGTCAGTTTCCATGACGCTGCCGGGTGTTTTTCTCCATCCGCGTCACCCACGCAAATGGAATAGCTCGGTGCACACGGCGGACGAATGCAACGGGGGAGACAGTGGCGGATCCCGCGACGCGCCTTAGGGCCCTGTCCATCGCGCTCGTTGCGAAAAAAACAACGACAAGTCGTTGGAAGAAAAATATTTGCAAGAAGAAAAGAAGAGAAAGAAAGAAGAACGCAGGGTAGACACAATCATCTCCTACGACGACGACGACGACGACGACGACGATGACGGCGAAACTTCGCTCGTCTCGCTTTTATTGATCGCGGATACTCGCGATGCTCGTAATTATCATTCATTGTTTTCCACGTGCTTATTTGCCCGCTCCGTGTACGAGTGAACGAGGTTAATGGCGCTATCAGAGAGTCGTATTTCCATCAATAATGAACACCGGCAGGACGATCCTCCCCGTCTGTCTGTTGTGCGCGCGCTCAGGATAGCACATCTGCTAAATCCACCACTGGGCGAAAAGTGGTCGCCCAGTTGGAAAGCTTTCAGCCCGCCATACGATGCGATGCGACGCGACGGTGGGATACCGCCAACCTGTCGCTCTTATCCCTCAGCTACCCTTTTTCAGCGTTTCAACACCCTTCTCGGTGAAATTCTC